GGTAATAAAATAAATCAACATAATTTATGTGAATTGAAATTCCGTATACGGTGGGCGGTACGTAATGGCAATAATTGTAAGATTTTTCGGTACACGTCACTTACTAATACGGCTATTTATAAGGATTGCTTCATATGGGATTCTTAGATGAGCCAATTATTAGGGAGGGCAATTTTTAGAGAAAATGTCGATACCTGCATACCTTTTTCGGCAATTCTTTCGATACAGCGGCAAATATATTAATACAAATTTGCAAATGTAATAATCATCAACCAGCCTGAAGTGTCCACTGCTGGACGTAGGCCTTCCTCAAACCTTTCCACTCTTCTTGGTCCTGTGCCACTTGTATCCAGGTTCCCCTAAATCTCTTTAAGTCATCAGACCATCTTGTCGGAGGTCTGCCTCTGTTTCTGAGAGCATCCTGTCTTGGCCGCCATTCTAGTATTAGCTTGACGGATTTTTTCTATGCACTTTTTCGTCAGTGTAAGTGTCTCTGCGCCATATTATGTAAGTACTGGCATAACGCACTGATGGAGCACCTTCCTCTTTAAGCACATTGGTAGATCTGATTTCAACACATATCTTAGTTTGCCATGCCACAATTTAATAGATAAATAAATATTGCATTTATTTGATGGTTATAAAATATCTTCTTCTTCTTAAGGTGCCGTGCGTAGGCGTTCATCTTTTTCTTCCTCATCAGATGGTTCTATTTATTGCAGCGACTTGGAGTGTTTGGAAGTCCTGTATGCCTGTCCAATGATGAATATTTCTTAGCCAGGATAGCTTCCTTCGGCCTATTTCTCTTTTGCTCCCCTCGATTTTACCCTGGAGAATTAGACGCGGAAAGTGACGCGTTCTCCACGTAGTATGTGTTCCAAAGAGGCTATTTTCCTCTTCTTGAAGAGTTCGCGTTCTTCTAGACCAGCTCTTCTGAGAATGTCTTCATTCCTCACACGGTCGACCCAGGATACTCTTAGCATTCGTCGTAGGGTCCATATTTCGAAGGCTTCAATTCTGTTTATTGTTGTTACCTTCAGTGTTCACGCTTCCACTCCATATAACAAAACGGATCAGACATAACACTTTACCATTCTGTATCTAAGGCCGAAGTTCAAGTTCCTATCTGTGAAGTTTTAGAAAAGTTGTTCTTGCTTGCTCGATCCTGCATTTGATCTCCTGATCTGAATCCCACGTTTGGTTAACCATGCATCCCAAGTATTTAAATTGCGTGACCTGCTTGATGACCTCTCCATTTAAATAAATTCTGGTGTTCGGCATGTTGTTTCTGCTGTAGTACCATGCTGTAATTTTTGTGGTCCATCTGTTGTCCGTGCTTCTTGCCAGGTGTTCTGACCATTGCCACTTGAGCGATTTCATTCTGTGGATGACCTGTGGATATTAGAGATGTTCATATTATCGAGAAATAAATATATCGGCTATGATATCCAAAAATATCGATAATTTTAGATAAAATATCGATATATTCCAACGTTCCTACCAGTTGTACGCTATTTGCTTTGCAATGGCATCATATGTATTCTTTTTGTGTCAGGTGCGATGTGTGTACTTGATGATGTTTTATTGAACATGGTAGGTCGTTAAAAGTATTTGTCTATGTTTTTTTTTTCGCTTCTCAGCTTTGCAAAAACGCAAATAGGATTTTAATAATCTGAAAGAATGTTTTATTAATGTATAAATAAAAACAAAATATTGAAACGCCTAAGAATGATAATGCTAATATTTGAAACATAATTTTGATGTAGATATTACTCATTCCTTATTAACAGTTAGTTTAACCTGAAGACCCATCAGTAAACAATTTTCTGATTAAATAAAAGCATATAATTCGACTGGACTGGCCACCGGGAAGAAAAAAATCACTCTGTTAATCACTGTTAATGATTCATTAAAATTTCCGGCTCCGAAGCTCACCAGATATATTACCCGACTTACGAAAAATAATTACCAAACTCATTACGGTGCGCCCATGTACATTTTTACCGGTCTAATTAAAGAATTTCGGCCCACACGAATTTATTATGTATGTGTGCCTGTGTGAACGTATGCAGACAAACAGTGGAAATAGTCGTAAAGTTCCGTCTACACTTAACGTGTTAACTGTCAGTTAAAACGGAAGATCGTCTGGCAAACTGACGGCAGTTCTGTAGAGTCTTCTGTCTTACTCCTTAGTTTGGACATTAAGTTTTACCTGCCAGGTAAGAAGGCGGTTCTTGCATCCTGCATAGGTGGCCAGCCCATCTTAAGCTGGATTTAGTAATTATGACTTCAGCGCTTTCGCAGCTAGCTTTTTCAAGGACTGACACGTTTGAGACATGGTGGTACCATTTGATTCTTAACAGTCGGCTAAGGTGTCCCTGTTGCAATTTGTTTAATGTGTTCGTGTGCCGCCGGTAAGGCACCCAGGTTTAGCCTCCATATAACATGGTGGGGATTATTATTGCTCGGTACACTGTAAGTTTCGTTTTTGTGCTCAAGTCATGATTGTAGAAAACCCTGTCTTTTAATTTCCCGAATACTCTTGAGGCGCTGCTAATTCTCTGCTGAATTTCAGAGTCAATATTGGCCTTTTCCAACATCAAACTGTCGAGACAATTGAATTCTGTTAGATATTCCAATAATAGTTCTCCGATTTTTATAGCACTGTTATGATTTTCCGGGGAAGTCCACATGATTTTAGTTTTATCGATGTTCAGCTTAAAGCCTAAAGCCTCGTATGCCCAGGTATATGTGTTCAGCATTTCTTGTAATTGCTGTAACGTTTTTGTAACTAGAGCTCAGTCAACAGCATATTGAAGTTCTATGAAGAATTTTATACGTGTTTTTGGACGTGTTGAGTCTTTTTATATTGAACAAACCGCCGTCATACCTGTATCTAATACCAGTTCCTCCTTCCTGCAATTTGCTGTCCACTATAATAGAGAGCGCTGCCATGAATATATGTTGAATAGAAGAGGCGCTAAGACACATCCCTGCCTAACTCCTGTATTGGTCAGTAAAAACTGATGTAACTAGAGGACGTAGAAAGACTTAGGAGCAGGACAAATTATATTTAAAAAATATTTTAAAAATAGAATAGACATATAAAATAAGTTCAGTAAATCAAAATCTTCGGGAATTTCTTGAAAAATTGTCTTTTGGGGCAATTTTTGAGTCTTTTAGATGGGCACTTGGGCTCACTTACTCCCTTAAAGGCGTCGGCCTTTGTTGACGGGTAAAATATTAATTGCTTTCTATCACTTGGTGAGTAGGCACCCAGAGTAGGAGGACTTTATTTTCTTTGCCTGATTTGTTCAGCTTCTGTAGGCATTCTTTGACCAACTTCGAATTGATGGTTACTGAGTTGATCGCATTTAGTGCTGCTTGATTATCGGATAAGATGGTTATTTCCTGTTTTCGATAGTTCCTATCTAAGATAAATTGTACGCATTTTTCGATAGCGTAGATTTCTGCTTGAAGGATGCTGGGGTCCCTGCTTTGCTTTGGTTTTGGAAGCATCAGTATACCACGTTATGGCATGGTTGTTTGTTTTAAACTATAATGTAGATGGCATTCAAATTAATAAAGAAGGTTGGGTAACGATAATCCCGCAAAACTTATTTCAATTTTTAGAGAATTTAAATGGTACTTCTCCGAATTGTAGCACAAAATAATAGATTTAAGTGATTATGTACCATTATTTTTTTAGTTCTGTTATGAGAGTTTTAACATTTTTTTTAGACAATATTATATTGAGGTGGCAGGTTATTACTTTGTTTTTATTCTTTTAATATTAGGTTTTTTTCCAACTCACCACCTCACCTTTGGATCGATTTAATATAATGTCCAAAATAAAGTGGTGGGAAAAAGCATGAAAATTACCATTCAATAAATTTGGGACACCCTGTATGTTACTGCTAAAAGTATCTTTCATTAAAAGCATTATTATGTATTGGTATTTGGACTGGTATTTGGTTTTATATGGACTGGTATTTTTAGATTTGACACAAAAAAAAGAAAACATCAAGCATATTTTAAACAGTTAGTGATGTATTTAACGGACTTGTTAGTGGTATCACACGACGGTTTTTAAACACCTGTTAATTAAAAAATAATTTAATAAAAATTTCCCATACTCACGAACCCAGCACACACACACACGAAAATGCGTATCAATATAATAAACAAGGTAGAAAATATTCCCAAATTAAAATTCAAACTAATTAACAATTACCGTTTCTGCTTCTTCCTTTTACGACTGCCGTTGTGCCGTAAAAGAAGGGGAATTTGTTCTTCTTTTCGAAAGCTACCTAAGTAATTATTATCTGGGCTACCTAAAAATTTTATTGCCCGGAAATCTGATAATGGAGAGCGAAATAAAAATTAAGACAAACGAGAATGTTGAACAATGCTGAAAACAATGTACGCAGAAGCTGGAAATGTTAATAATTAGTTTAAATTTATATAGTTTTTATCGAGGAGTGTCTTTATTATCATATTAATGACAATAATTCCTATTTTCCCCTGTAAATCCCTGTCTACACATAGCAACACTCCATTAACTGTACCAGAACCGTTCTGTTTTCCAAGAGGAAACCAACTAAAGGCGGAACTGAAGAACCTGGAAGACTTCTCAACGAACACCTCAGTAGGCTGAAGCTGTGAAACAACGGCGAATGCAGATTCTGTGGGGAAAATGGGGAAACACCAGAAAACCTTATCATTGACTGCGCCGAGACGACGACCGTTCGTGCCATGAACTTTGGTACGGCTGATGTCGAGGATGAAGAGCTGGCCTCTGTGGAGCCGTCTTATATACTGGCTTTTGTTAAGGCCCTGAGACTGTACGATGAGTTATAACTCGTTATAACTCAACATACGGTCGTGGTGATTAACTCCCCTCCTAAACATTCTACATTCATTAAAACAAACAATAAACATAATTAATGTTTGGTGATGTTGTTGGAACAATTTACTAATCACATATCTTCTTGTTTCAGAAATGAGTCTGATGAGGAAGTGAAATCTTCTTGGCTACACTGGCGCCACACAATCGCCACGTACAAGATAGATGATTTTGTAGCGGCGACGGGCCGAAGCAGGAAGCGCAGCGGTAGCGGCTACCAGCGCGCCGCTTCCGTGGCTAGCAGCGGAACGTGGTAGCGAACCGGCACCATCATTGGCGTAGAGATTGCCCCTTCCCTTTGCCCAATGGGGGCCGAGACCTCCCCCCAACAGCAGTACTCCTTGCGATGGAACGACTTCCACTCGTCCATCCTGTCCTCATTTCGCCATCTGAGGGACGAGGTAAGGCATTAATATTTTTTAATAATTTTAGTCATCAAATACCGACGAAATAATAACATAGCTTAGATGTCGTTGATATTTGATAACTGTAAAACATTCAATTTTAAAATCAAAATATTCATAGCCGTGAGATGCGCATTAATCAAACAGAGAAAAAAAGTGAAACCAAAGCAATCAAAACACGCTGTAGGCTGTTTTTCTATTGCTAGAGCTATAGCTAGACATTAACCTAACTTTAAGGTCCACCGAGCGCCAAATCAGTGATTAGTGTTCGTTGCTTATTTAATTTGCATGTCAAAAATGTTCATTTTTGTATGCAATAAAATGTAGTTTTATTTAGACGACATATCAGTAGCTAATCATTTCAGTTGGGGGTTAGAACCTGGTGTGACAACAGCAAAATAAAACACTAATACACTAAAACACTTTACTTTTGCACTGGACGCGCGTTTCTCTAACTATGTTGCATCATCAGCAAATGATTAAAACTGTTCAAGTAACTATGAGTTTTAATAATGAAAACTTATAAATAAACCTTATATTCTAGTTTCTACAGTGTTTATTTAAAAAAAATGGTAACTAAATTAAAAGTAGACGTATAAAATACTCGTTCTATCTGCAAAGCAATCGTTAGTTCTTTCCAAAAAATAAATTTCGTAAAATTGATCTGAGCAGGTGCTTTCTTCAAATTTATGTCCCTAGTAATTTTTGCACAAACATCTGTCGAATAATTTCGACATTAGATACAGTATTTGAAGCAGGTGGGAAGTTCTTTTTTTAAATTTAGAGAAAAGAGAAAAAAAAGTTAAGAGCAGCTTTCCAAGAAAAGAATAAGGTATATTGATTACTATTTTTTATATGCTATAGATCATAATATACAGGGTGTTTCAGAAAACATGTGCCATCTCTCGTGGGGACATTCCTCACGTAAAAATAAGATTTATTTTTCATATCAACATAGGTCCGATTCTGCTTTGTTTCGTAGCTACAGGGTGTTAAAGTCTTAATATTTTGTTGATTTATTATAATTTTCTTCCAAGTACTTTTAGCGTTTCGAATGAAATTTTGAGCGTAAAAGTTACTATAAATGTGACATATTTTAAAGCCAAAAAAATGTCGACATATTCACCAGGGACGTATATATGGGTTATCACTGGAATATTTTTCTAAAAAAAGCATGTACGCCACTGACTTTTTTTCTCTTGTTAGCGAAATTGTGTAAGCATATTAATGCCGATTAAAAATTGTCTCTTGATATTTTGACTATTTCGGCATCCTTGATGAGATAAACGGAATTTTATTAGTTTGCCTTAATCCAAGTTTAATAGCGACCTTTAAAAAAATTAACATCATTAACTTGCGAAAGCTTTAAATAAGTACTCATCGATTCCTCATCAAAAAATATGAAAAAAGTTCTTATAAACATGGGTATGGAAATGCATAGTTTTAGAGTTACAGGATGTTAAAACTTTTTTAAATTAGTTTTTTTGTAATTATTTTAAATACCATTATTTTTTTTATTTTAAATTGCGGTAGATTGGACTGAAAGTAATAATATTTAATTATAAATTAAGTAAAACATATAATTTATTAATTTTATTTTTGTTTTAATTTTATTAAATCGTGATTAATAAAATTGCGTTTATCTCATCAAGAAGGCCGAATTCGACAAAATATCGAGAGATAACTTTTAATTGGCATTAAACCACCTACGCGATTTTGATTGCGCACATGTTTTTTTTTGAAAAATATTCCAGTGATAACCCATATGCACGTCCCCGATGTCGATATCGACACTTTTTTAGCATTAAAATATGCAACACTTATAATAATTTTTACCTTCAAAATTTCATTCGAATTACTAAAAAATATTAAGATTTTAACACCCTGTAGCTACGAAATAAAGCAGAATCGGACCTATGTTGACATGAAAAATAAATATTATTTTTACGTGAGGAATCTCCCCAAGAGAGATGGCACATGTTTTTTGGAACACCCTGTATTTATTCATCCAAAAAAAGTGTTTATGAGTATTAATATTTATCTATCATTATATCTGCAATACGCTTTAAATCAACGTGTTTTTTTTCAACTGGTAATTGGTGAAGTTCACGGTCTTTTTAAAGACGGTTCATTGCTGGTCAAATGGCTGGTAAACTGTTGGTAATCGTGACTTGCAGAACGCCCATGCTCAGTAATTATACCTTTTTCATATCTACAACCGAAAGTAAAAAGTCCTGTTCTTTTACTTCTTGTCTTCAATCTAGTTAAGAATATTGAATTTGTTAACTATCGGGAGGACATTTGAAGACGAATTTTTTGACTATTAAAAAAGCAATACTTATTTAAAAGAGGAATAAATTAATCAAAACTCATTCGTGCAACTTTGTGTCCACTGGATTGGCAGTTACCTTAGCGACTGGACGCTTGACTTCTAATAATTATGATTTTTTTTCTTTATAGGCTAAATGCTAACAAAAAAAATTCTAACGCTATAAATCTTCTTACAGTGCCATACTCTATACAGAGCGTTGGCACAAGTACACGGGACCTACGGGACCTTCGGGTTTATCGCCGAATCCGAACGGCACTATTTGAGCTTACTTTTTGTCAAAAACAAGATGGTGAAAACCGCATATCGGTATCTGTTACCGTTTCGGAGTTACGGGGTGTTTTTCAAAAATATGCATTTTTAACAAATCGCTGTAACTTTTTTGCTATGGAAAATTTTGTATTTTTATGAAAACATTTCCAAAGCACCTTTTTACGTAGAATTTAATGGTTTAAGTATAATTTTTTTAAAATTAATAATTTAAGAATTATCAACAGAAGATCTGATTTTTTATATGGGACACCCTGTATATTTTTACTTTATTGAAAAGAATTTAAAATTACCTTTCCAAAAATATAACATAGTTGATATCGAGATATAGAGTATATAAAAATTCGCCCGCGTTAAATAAGTAGGCTTTGAACGGCACCGGCTGTAATGCAAAAAAATTCTAGCTGTGAGCATCAATTAAAACGAAAATAATATTTGCTATGAGAGATGCAGAATTTTATAACAATTTAAAATATATTTAACCAACATCAACACATTTAAACTATATCTAATAACAATAAAAATAAGTAGCAAACCAAGACATGAGCTTTTGCTAGAGGTGTTCGATATATCGACCGTCTTCTGTTATGGGCAGACGGGGCAGTTTTTGAACATTTCTCGCGGTATTCATTAACTGAGTGGGGGTGAAAGATACCCTCTCATAACTGCTAAGTATTTTTAATTCTTGTCTAGATTATACGGAAGAATAAGGGACCTTTATTCTTCCGCAAATATATCCATAGGATTACATCCATGGGTACTAAGTCAGGCGGCCTCGACGGCCAACGGCTGAGATCTTGGTTAGCTATCCAATTATTCTTGAAATTGGCTGCAAAAATTTGCTGATAACTTCAGCGTTCAGAGGTGATGCGTCGTTTTGCTGGAAAAATATGTTTTCGAGTTCCATTAAAGGCATATCATCAATAAGGGGTCCAAAGCCTACTAGTTAAAAGTGACGAACTTTTAAAAATTCTGTATTTCGAAGGGGATTATAACAAAATATCAAGTGTGCTATATTTTTGAAAAGGTAATTTTAAATTATCTTCAGTTAATTAAATATATATAGGGTGTCCCAAATAAAAAATCAATTTTTCTGTTGATAACACTTAAATTATTAATTTTAAAAAAATTATACTTAAACCATTAAATTCTATGTAAAAGGGTGCTTTGGAAATGTCTTCATAGAAATACAAATTTTCCATAGCAAAAAAGTAACAGCGATTTGTTAAAAATGCACATTTTTGAAAAACACCCCGTAACTCCGAAACGGTAACAGATATTGATGTGCGGATGTCACCATCATGTTTTTGATGAAAATTGAGCTGCAGACACCGATATTAGTTTTCGTCTATCTTCTATAGAAAAGGATGTTTCCATTTAAAAGCGTCGAATTTGACCCACCCTGTAAAATAGGGTGGATCGTAAATCTCAAAATTTTAAAATTTTTAAAACATCGACTTGGAATACCTACGAAAAGTTGCCTTTGGTAATGTTGATAAAAAAGTGTTGCTACAACTTTTTAATAAAATCACATCTTCTGCCCTCTACCAGCCCTTAAAAATGAAAAAATTTTTTTTGAAAAATCGATTTGGAATACTCACCAAAAGTTACCTTTAATAATGTTGATAAAAAGGTTTATTTAAATTTTTTTTGATTAAATCACGTCTTCTGGTCTCTACCGGCTGTTAAAAATTGAATTTCAAACCAAAAATACGCGCCTGTTTGATATCAGCGCATGTAAATACGAATTTTTTGACCAATGTTCTTGCGAAAAGGAAAAAAAGGTACCTAAAAATGAACAGTTTTTTTTATAGATCAGAGAGCGCTTAGAAAAATGGTTATTGAGAAAATTGACATAATGGAAACCTCAAAGCTGATAGGCCAGCAGAACGGAAAAAGATATAAAACGGCAAGAACTACAACAATCCATCCAACATGAAAGCAAAATCAATTTATCAAGAAATCGAAAGTCATCGACAGATCTAGAAATTGATCATGAATTGCCTTCCACTTCCTAGGACAGTATCAAGAGTAAAATCCAGTGTACAAAATCCAGTGTACCCGGTTAACTGCAACCTAACCGGGTTCTATATTTTTGGGTCATACAGTTCCCAGTTCTGGATCGGCTCTAGGCATTTTTCAAAGTATTGTGAACCTCTTAGAAAGTAAAGAATATGACCTAGAAGAACTAGTAGCAGTAGGATGTGACGGAACCGTGGTGAATACAGGAAAAAAATGGTGCAATTTCTCAATTAGAATTAAAATTAGGACGCGCTTTACAAAGATTGGTCTATAATATAGATATAATATAGAATAATAAAAATTACCTCTTACGCATCTTTTTCAAAAGCTTGACGGTCAAACCCTAGGTCCAAGAGCTTTTGCAGGAACTATTGGA